TGGTCTGGCTTTGCTGTCCTAGTTCCCCATTCTTTTTCATTCTATTTTCTTTTTTCTCTTCTGACTATTATTTCAAAGTTCTTATCCTCTACCTCACTGATTCTGTCTTCTGCCTGTCTAGTCTGGTGTTGATACTCTCTCTTGTATTCATTTTATTCACTGAATTCTTCAGCTCCAGAATTTCTCTTTCTTTCTTTATGATTTCTATGTTTCTTCCTCATTTTGTTCATGTATTATTTTCTTGATTTCATTGAATTATCTTTATTTTCTTGTAGCTCATTGAATTTCCACAAAACAGCTCTTTTTAATTCTTTATTGGGTAAATAACAGATCTCTGTGTCTTTGGGTTCAGTTATAGGCGATTAATATGTTTTGGTGATGTTATGTTCCTTGATTCTTCGTGAATTTTTACATCGCTGTTTTGATATTTGAAGCAGTTGTCACCTCCTTTAAGCTTTACTAGCTGCCTTCAGGTGAGAGATTCTTTTCGTTGCTTTTGCTTATATTCTGGGTCTTTCTGTGACCTTGTATGGATATACCTGCTCCACACTTCTTACTTCCTCATAGGCAAAATTTTTAAGCTGTGTGTCGTCTCACGGTTTTGTAATGAACCAGGCTGGCTGTTGGTAACCTCTCTTTTGATGTCCCAAAGGTAGCCCTACAACTCATGATTGTGGTTTTTCCCTTGCCCACAGACCTTGGCTTTTCTGAGTATATACTTCCTGTCTGTCCGAGCTTGCTCTCTCCATGGCCGTCTGGAATATGTACCAGGAGCTGGCCTCAGAATGGGGAAGGTATGGATTTGGCACTAGGGGTTTTGGGAGTTACTGCGGGTCAGATGAGGGGATTCTTGGGTGAAGTTTTTTCAGCAGCATATGTGTAATCTTCCTGCTGGAGTCTAGAATGCAGAGAGCTGTTTTCCTCTAATGCTCTCTGATATTCTTATCTTCCTCTTTCCTAGAGCTTTTTCCCTTCCTCAGTCATGGAGCTCTAGCATTAATACTCTGGGTGCTGTGTGTGAGAGATGGGTTTCTTTAGCAGCATCCTTACAGCTGAAGAAGCTGGGTGCTCACTCACCACTCTCTCTTTTCCCCCCACAAGGAGGGATCTTCAACCTACTCTTTCACTAAGTTGTGCCTCCTAGGGTGATGCTTGCACAGTTTCTCTTACCACTCTAATGCATCCAAACTTGTATAATTCTTTTGCTCCAGTGGAGTGCTAGAACTTCTCTAGAAACATGGATTTCTATTTAGTCTTTCTCATCTGTGAGTATCTGCTCAAGTTTGTGTCTTCCAGGTGCCTCATTGAAAAGTGATTGTAGTCACTTCACAGGTTCTTGTTGGTTCCAGAGCCCATACCAGGTTCTGTCTGCCTATTACCTGATGCACAAGTGGGTACGACTCCTCCTGGGCCCCTTGACATATGATGCTGGAGTCCATAGCTCCAACAGAGGCACTTTCTGTTCATGGATAGATGCCAAATTGTACATGTTAAAAGGCAACAAACACTGCCATGATGCTGACATCACTCCTCTTGCTGCTTTCTTTAGAATAATAAGATGCTTGCTTTTCTGTACCTATATCTAAAGTTAATTCAAGAGTTAGATTTACGGTTCTCTTTATCACATGCTATCTCAAATATTAATCCCTGTGTATTTTATTTCATTTTATTTTTTATAGTGTCTCTAAGATTTTATTTAGTGCATTGTAGAGATAATATGTTTATTGCAGTTCATAGATTAATGCAGTTCAGACATTTATAAGGTGCCCTTAAACCTGTGTGTTTTAGAGCAGAAGACCATGTGAATAAGCACCATGTGAATAAGCCATTGTGAGAAAACACAGTGAAAACTTTTGTTGGTGCTTGTTAAGTGAATAGTAATTATTTCTTATATTTTAAAAGTACCTTGCAATTTCTTTTATGACACACTATCTCATTTCATACTCTCCTGTAAGGTGGATATTAATATTATCTTAATATAAATGATTAAACTTAAGACTCAGACTGGTTAGTATGGTGGTAATAAATGGTTTTTTGTTTTTTGTTTTTGGGCTGGAGGAAAGTTAGGATATAAAACTTCAGTATTTGCTGTATACCACAAATAATTTCTTACATCTAAATTTAATTTCGATTTTCTTTTTTTCAGTTTAATTACCCTCAGGTAATTTTTTTTTCTTTTTTCAAAATCATGACATGTGGATTATGTTTTCAATGACTGGCATATCTGAGAATGACTTCTTGTTGCCATCAAACATATTAGAGAGGTGACAGCATTTTCTTTCAAACATCTGATAACATTTTATTACTGTCTTCTAGAATGTAGTTTTACTGATAAATCTGAAGCCAGCTTGCTCTTGCTTTTCTATGTAACTTCTCTCTCTGTTCCTCTTCCTCACCCCTCCTCCCACCAACACTTCCCCTTTCCTGTCTCTTTTGGTCTATATTTTAGTAATTAGTCTTTTAATTCTTACAATTCAAAAAAATTAGCTAGGATGCACCTAGATATGTCTCCGTTCATTGATTTTTATGTAGAACATGGTAAACTATTTTGATCAACAAACTTAGAAAATATTTATTCATTTCAAAAGCATGTTCTTCAGTTATATATTAAATTATTGTTTGTATTCTGTTTTGACTCTTTTAGGAAATCAAATTCTTTTATTGATTCTTTATTATCTACCCTCATGATTTTTATCTCTGTTCTTTTTCTATAAGTTCTTAAAGCATTTTTCATGATTACCCTCAACATACATGCTGTTCTCTGAATAATCAATTTAGTTTCTCATTAATTCCCACAGATTTTGTTTCTGCTATTATATTTTAATTTTTGCAGTCATTTCTTATCCTACCCATTTCTCTTAATCTCAGTGTGACTCTTCTTATGGTTTTCTGTTCCTGTTTATTAGAGAATATGGCTTATTTTCTTTTGGGTATGCCAGATGGCTTATAAATGTCTCTACTAATGCCTATAGGGAATTATTTTCAGAAGACTTCTTTTGTTGAGCTTCAGACTGATAATTTTCTTTTCCTTGTCAAATAATCTTTTTTCTAGACTCTATTTTTTCTCTTCTATTTGATGAATGATATGTCCAGAATCAATGTTTGCTGACATACGTAGGGTCTGAATTGCCCCTGGCCCTGCTCTGTTCACTTGTGTGAGTTTTTTTTTTATATCTTCAGCTCTAAAGTAAGTTGTTTATATATAACCTCTAGTGTGCATCTATAGTTACCAGGCTGTCATCTAGTGTAGCTTTTCTGGACAAAGAAAAGATCTTGTCTTGCTTTTTTTCATTGCCTTACTCTCTGACATTCTAGTCAGAGTATAAGGGGGCCTATATTTTTCAACATGCACTGCTTGCATGAGTTCCCCTATCTCTTTCTTACTTTATAAAGGTTTACTTACGAAGATTACATCTCTCATGTTATTATATGCCTCTGCCAGAGCTACCTTCCTTTCCACTCCTATATACAACACACATAGATTCGTGGGTTTGCAATTTCCTTCTGAATGTAGAAATATAGAAAGAGAGGAGGTTATAGGGAACAACACTGTAGCAGCTACAAGAAGGTATACCTGTGCAATATAGGAATGCTGCTCAGCTTTGTAAGTGGCATAATCTTTATATTTACAAATCACGTAGTAGACAATGGGCAAAGGATAAAGCATCTTCCTTTATATTATTTTTACATGTTTTTCAGTATACTGTTATTATTTGTATCTTTTGATCTAATTCTGCTATTTTCATAATTACTAGAAATTCTTAAGATTCTGGCAATCAGTTGTTAGTGTGAATTTCTATTACTATTATTAATAAGAAACACTTAAGTATGTTACATATCAACACTAATATAAATGCTTTAAACATATTAACTCATTTAGTCTTTTATAAAACTCTTTTGTGGGGTACTATAATTATAATCATTTTATAAATGGGGAAAATGAGGCATAAAGAAGTTGAGGACCTGGCTAGTATGTAGCACAGTCAGGATATGAACCCATGAAGTCTTCATATTTGCATATTGTGTTTTTATCCTGTTTTCCTGCATCTTCATAGGCCCATTCTTCCTTCCTCTTTTTCTGCCTCCCTCTTTCCTCTTCTACTTCTGTCTCTTCCTTTCTTCTTTCTTTTATGACTACACAAAAGATTGTATCAGGACCTGGCAACTAGATGTCAAAAAGTTCAAAAGTATGACCTTTTTTGAGTTTTTGACTGCAGAATAGAAAAAGTATATATTTGTTTATATTTATATAGATTTAGTTCTTTAGGAATTGCATTAAGGTTACTTTATTAAACTTTCAGAGGTATGAATTTGTTTAGATTGTAGATTTGTTAAACAGAATTAATTTATTCTTTGTGGTTCTTAGTTTATTGGCCTTAGTAGGTGAGCAATTGAGCTATGGCAATGATGTCTAACCCTTTTGTCTAGTCCTTTGTAAGCACCTAACTTAAACTAAGGCACCACTAGACTTAGACTGTTGAGCACTTGAAATGTGGTTAGTCTGGATTGAGATGTGCTATAGATAACAAATACACTCTGGATTTTGAAGGCTTACTATAAATAAAAGAATATAAAATGTCTGATACTTTAAATATATTTATTACATATTGAGTATTTTTAATTTATTGGATTAAATAAAATAAAGTCAATTTTGCTTGTTTCTTTTTACTTTTTTAATGTGGCTACTAGACAAATAAAAATTACATACATGACTCATATTGTATTTCTGTTGGATATTCAAAAGTATATAAGATAGGGCAGGGGTCACCAAACCCTGAGCTGTGAACTGGTACCGTCCATGGCCCGTTAGGAACAGGGCCGCACAGCAGGAGGTAAGTGGCAGGCCAGCGAGCGAAGCTTCGTCGTTTGTGCAGCCACTCCCCACTGCTAGCATCACTGCCTTAGCTCCACCTCAGATCATCAGGCATTAGATTCTCATGGGAGCACTGGTCCCTGATGCCAAAAAGGTTGGGGACCACTGATGGGTACCTCTTCTCTAGGAGTCTGCTGGGGAAGAAGACAGGCAGAGTCGTGGGGTAGGTGCCAGCTTGGAGCTCATGCATCGGAGACATCTAACCCAGTTTTGAGGGCCTTCAGAAGGTATCCTTTAAGGCAGCTGGTACTTTGTTTTATCTTTCTTTTTAACCTTCTTTTGAGAACTCTAAGTCTACTTTTTGGATGGAAGGAAATAAAAGTCAAAAGCTATTTAAAAAATTTTTGAGACTCTTGTTTTTAGGATATTGGTTCTCAGTCTAACGAAACAAATCAATATTGAAGTAGACCATTGCTCAACTGTCCCCCTAAACTGACTTAGGCAACTAGATAGATGGCAGTGCCACTTGCTAAGTGTAGAACAGAGGTCAGTTTGAGCTCTCTTGAGTTCAGGGGATCTGTGGGACATTTAGATGGGGAGAAACATTAATGTCAGTTGGATGTATGGAACTAGATAGAGTCCAAGAAAAATCTCCATTGGCAATGCAGATTGAAGTTAGGACATCAGGAAGTGAGTAAAGTGAGAAATGGACAAACCTCTGAGGAACAGAGAAGGTCAAAGAAGGGGGAATATAAAGATCATTGAAAAAGAATGGTCAGAGAAGGAAGAGTTTAGGTAGGCTAGTGTACTTTCAAGAAGCCAGCAAGTGCAGGTAGTGTCAAATGTAGCTCAGAGGTGAAGACTGAAATGTCTGTTGTCTTTAATAATGAGGAAATTATTGGAGGAGAAAGCAGGTTCCCAGGAAGGGGCTAGGTTAGATGGCAAGGCCAGATTGCAGAATGTTGAAGATTTAATGGGAAGTAAAGAACTGGAGACAGTGAAGTTTATTGTTTGTTAGAGAAAGTGGTAGAGTGGGGTGGCTTTTGGGAGCTGCTGGGATGTATTTAACATACAACAACTTTCTGTGTGTGTGTTCATGTTCCCTAGGTTTTGTAAATCCATTAGAAAACTGTGTTTCTATATGTTTATATTCTTAGAATCCAATGTAGCATCCTTCATAAGGTAACTATGCATTAACAGTTGTTGATCATGATTTTAATTTAATCTCTTTTCAACAAGATTCTTTATTAATATCATTTCCAAATTCTCTAAACATTAAATAAGAGCTTTATTTTATCCAAGTTTAAATGCACTAAGACCCTTAGGCATGGTTTATGTGAGCTCTGTAATCCGCTAAAAACTATAATTCAAATCTAGATTCTGACACTTTTTAAGCTATGTAATCTTGAACAAATTGTCACTTCTGGCCTCTTTTTCCTCATCTAGGAAATGACAATAATACCTACCCTTAAAGGGCTGTTTTAGGATTCAGTGAGAAAATGTGTAAAGCGTTTAGTATTTAGTACTTTATACGAAGTAGGCACTCAGTAAATGCTTTGTAGAAAAACAGCAACTTCACGCTATATATGCCAATACTATGGTTTTTATAATTTAATTTATAAGTAGTATGTGTAATATAACTTTAACAAGAGTAAGCATACTTAGTTGAAATTTGAGTGAAAAATTAACCTTTGAGTAAAAACTGTTTCTTTTTTTGCCCCCTCCTTTCCTTTCCAATCTAGGTCCTGAGGGAATCTAACAAATTAGCAGAAATGGAAGAACCACCCTTGCTTCCAGGAGAAAATATTAAAGATATGGGTCTGTAATGGTATTTTTTGTTACATTTCCTTCTCTTTTCTGATTATACAGACTATTCACTACCCTCAATATGCAGAGAACAGGCTCACCGCCCAAGACACCTCCTGTCTGGTGGCACTCATTACTGCCAGCCTGCCTGACATTTAGTGTGTTCTCTAAGCCTAGGGTTGCACTTGTTGATTTTGTTTGTATTTGGACTGCTGGGAAACATGCAAATTGAATTATATTCTGCTACTTCTCTGGTTTGCTTTAGTTTCATTGAAAGTAGGTAGCTTTTTTTTTTTAACTTTTGCTGAATTTTGTGAAATAAAATTTCATTATTCTGAATTACCACAGGAAGATATTAGGTTGCCTAGATAAAAAACATTGAATTCTCATTTTGTTTAATTTTTCTTCAAACACATTTCTCGCTTCTTTCTTTATTTTTTCCTACTCTGAATAAACTCAGATCAGTTTTGGGATGAAAATATTTCATCTCCATTGCAAAGCAAGCTGTTTGCAATGTAGGTGCCTTTCTTTGTCCAGTCTGAAGAACTAAACATTAACTTTTGTGTGGACCAGAATCTGGAAACAAGCATTTAAGCTATTTTTTTTTTTTTGTCCTCATGCTTTTACTTTAAAATACCAATAGCTTTTGAAATAAAGTAATATATTAGGAGAATAAAGTAAATGGTTTCTTAGCCAAAGTAAATACTACTTTTCATTTTATTATCAATTAACATTTTAAAAGGGCTTAATAAATTCTTAATTTTCCCTGGCTAAGTGTCATTTCCTTGTATAAAACTAAGCAAGCCAAAGGGCTTGTTCTTGCTTGCAGTACATTTAGCATGATAGTTGTCTCTTCTTGCTCTTGATTCCTCATCAAATACCTTCCCAGTCTCCCCCACTCCCCCCACTCAGCCTCATATATCCCCTAAGCTCTTGTTCAGCATTGCATATTATATAACAACAATAGTTATCATTATTGAGTGCTTACTGTCTCATTTAATCATCTTCACAACAATCTTCTGAGAAAGTTATTAATCCCATTTAGTAGACGAGGAAACTAAAGCATAGGGAGATTACTTAGGTAGTAAAGTTATAGCTAGCATTGTGACAGTATTTTTTCTCTTCTGAATCTAAAGCACATGCTATTTCTACTTTGACAAATTACCTTATAGAAGACTTTTAATTTACCACTTGATCTTTTTTTTGGCTCATTTTCCTTAAATAGCATGACTTCTTTTGGGACTTCATTCTTGACCCATTTCCATTTTCCCTCCTATGTGTTCTTTTTGATTTACCCTATCTAAATTAGTAGCTTTACCTACTATTTATTTACTAATGATTCCAAAACTTATTTCTAGTGTGAACCTCTGTCCTAATACATATAAATAAATGCCTGCATCTTAGACACATGCCCTTGAATATCATAGTTATCCCTTATACCCAACATCTCCAAACTGAAATCATCACCTTTATCCCCCAAATTACTCCTTTTCTTTTTTACTATTTCCCCCAGTTAATACTAAAAACAATTGTCCATTCACTCAAGGCAGAAATCTGGGAGTCATACTAGACTCTTTTTTTTCTGAACTCTGACTCCCAAATCATTTACCCGATCTAGAAGAGTGAATCTCTAAGAATTTCTTGAATTTAACTTTTCCTCTCAATTTTCATGAGCCCTTGATATCGTCTGTATTGGATTTCAAGTACCTATGAGAAACTTCAAGTGGAGATATCTAGAAGAGATATCTTAGGAGCTTAGGAGAGAGATTAGGGTTAGAAATCCATATTTTGAAATCAGAACATGAATTTTAGTTGAAAAATAAAAGTAGGAAAACGACCCAGAGAGCATATGGAGTGAGAAGAGGGCCAAGAACATAGCTTTGGTAAACATTTTATAGTTACATGGTGAAAGGGGAACCAGGGAGAGAAATGAGGAGTGAAGAGTGTGTGATAGAGTCAGACTATATACTTAACTTTTGAAATAGTTTACTATTCAGTTTACTCTCCCACTTCTGTATATTGGATTAGGTTCTTTTTCTGCATGGAGTGCTGTCTCACCATTCCTACCCATCTAAAGGATACTAACCATTGGGGTACAACTCACATGCTTATGTTCCTTGAACTTTTTCTGATCCCATAGCTGAATGGACTTCCCCTTCTCTATGTTAGAGTATGCTTTCGTGCCTCTCTTTCTGCACAGATTGCATGCTCTCGTGTATTACATTTATTTGGATCTGTTTTATATCCTTATAGATATGTATTCTCAAGGTCATTGTAGTCTACCTCACAGAAACTCATGGATTCTTTCCCTGTAAACTCAGTGAAAATTTGAGAGGATTAGTAAATCTAAGCTCTTTTGGTACCATAGGCAATATTAGTATTGTAAAATTTAGAGGAATACTTAATATATTAAATCAAGTATTCTGCTTCAAAATCATCTGTGTAGGTTTGCTTATTGTGCAAAAAATAAATTTAATATAAAGAACAGGACTAGCATGACCCTGAATATATTAATTCATGTAGAAAAAATGTTTGATTTTTTAGTTGGTCTAGTGTAAATCTGTGGTTTAGATGTTTTTAAAAAGTTAGTGTTAGGAACATCAACAGATGCTCTAGAGAAGTAACAGTCTGAGAGTCTTGTGGCCTGGGCACATCAACAGTGGAGGTAGCCCAGACTGCAGTATTTCGACTTTTAATACAGAAGACAGACCATGCCATGTGCGTGATGTGGTGGAAAGAGATTTGAAATTTTAGTCAGAAGACCTGCATTCAAGTCTTAATCTTGGCAGTTACTGGTTCTGGAACATTAGGCAATTTGTTTATTTCTCTGAGCCCTGGTAGTCTCATCTAAAAATTATAGGTAATTGTAGACCTTATTTTTAAGGGTTGTTATGAAGGTTAAAGTAGGTACTCAGGTGAAAGTGCTTTTTAAACTCTCAAATGCTAGGCCTTTGATGCTGGTTTTTACTGCTGTCATTTGCTCTGTTAAGGTGCCTAATCACAGTCTCCCGTTTACTTGGTACAAACCCTGCTAAGCATAAATTCTCTCTTCAGAGTGACTTAGCTGCCACCAGCCTAAGGAGGAAGGGTAAAGAGGACAGAACAAAGAGCCTAATGATAAAAGTAGCATAGGTATAAACCCTTATATTTGACTAGTACTTATAATTTTGGATGGGTGGAGATGGTGAGACCATTATATACAGAGAACGAACCTAAACTATGTGTATTATTCATGATTTTAGAATAAAGAGGAAGGTGTAACAAAAACATTGGATGAAGGAGAACATATCCTCTAGAGGAATATAGAATAATAAGGTTGATTTTCCTGTGTAAGAACATTGGCTCTGGAAGGAATCCAGAAATTATTTTAGGAATATTGAATAAAGCTTTCCTAGTTGAAGTAAAAATTCATAAGGGCAAGAAAATATGCAAGGCAAGTTTGTGTATCTTTCTGTAATGACAGGTTTATTTAATTTTAAAAGCCTCTCTTTAAATTAAACATGCATTGGAAATAATGATTTAAACAATGTAGCTCATACTTGAACATTCTCAAAGGAATTATTTTGATGATTAGAAATTGTTAGAAGATCACTCTCATTTCAAATTTCATATACAAAGTGGTAAATCCTTCAAAGTGATGAATAAAAAGCAAAGTCAGGAAGTTGTATCCCTTATAAAACATATTTCATGTGCTTAAGTTTTCCCAGAAGCCTCCTGAAAGGTTCTTAGAAATTTGTGCCTTCTTTGGAACAGTGAAGATATTCCTATATATGCTGATTTGCTATAATAATGACATTATGGGATTTATGAATATTTTAAGATAAAAAATTTTACATTGGGCATTACAAAGTTTACCATATTAAGTATTATTTTGAACTGTGATAGCTGAGTTATCTTGCTTAATGTTTTAAAAAGCTGAATGGTGTGTAGATTCATCATTTATCATTTAATAAAACAATGCTTGTGATTATTTCTCTACAAAGTTGAACATCAGTTGCTTGGTCAGGAATATAATACTCTCTTATACTATTATTTTTCTAAGAAATTATATTTCTTATGCACTTCATTTCCCCTACAATATTTTCCCCCATAAATATAATTAGGTCAGAAGTTTCTGGTATTATATATTTCAGGTATTGTATTTTTAGAGGTATGTCGATAGACTAGACTGTGGCCAGAGAAGATCAGCAGATTGGTGAGGTGATCTAGAAGCTATGTTAAGATGAGTGGTGACTGTGATGTGAGACATTTACTGTTGTTAACCACCGTTACCACCACCCCTCCACCCACCACTCCAGCTCTCACACCTATTTTATCCCACAGGGATAGTGGCCATCTTTGTTTCTTTCTGATTTGCCTCAGGATAAGGGATGTCCTCTGCCTCTCTAGTTTTTCCCATTCTTCCTATTTATTCTACATTCTTCCCCCAGATAATTGCATAGTTGGAAGCTTGGATTTGGCTTCTGTATTCTCTTTGAATCACTGGTTCTATGATTTTTGAGCATAAACTTAGATTAGCAATCAGAATTCTATTAAATTTTATTTGTAAAAAGATGAGAGTATGGTTTTTAATACTGCACATTATATAGTAAATTGTGGACTCTTTGCCTTTTCAGCCAAAGATGTAACTTACATATGTCCATTCACTGGTGCTGTACGAGGAACTCTGACTGTCACAAATTACAGGTTATATTTCAAAAGCATGGAACGGGTAAGACTTGTTGGATTAGATTTTTATATGTTCATTTCTGTGCTGTTTGAAGACAACTTTGTTCATTTTTGATCATTTTTATTAAAGTATTTCTAATTAAGATTTTTTTCTCAGCTATAATTATACAGTATCAATTGCTCAGATTTTTTTTTCTTCCTTCCTTTAGGATCCCCCATTTGTTTTAGATGCTTCTCTTGGTGTGATAAGTAGAGTAGAAAAAATTGGTGGTGCTTCTAGTCGAGGTGAAAATTCTTATGGACTAGAAACTGTGTGTAAGGTAAATGTCATAATATGAAGTTTTATTTGATTTGAAAAGTTTTCTTAATGGGGTATATTAGGGCTTGTGTTTGGACTGATTTCCAACGTATCAAATGGATTTCATACTAGAAATGTCATTCTATTAGAAGAAAACAACATTTAGAAGTATTAAAAGGGTAATCTATCATAAATTAGACTTGAATTCTTTTGGATCCAACTTTCACATTCATTATTTCATGTTGAGCCTCATTAAAATACTGAAGTAGGTATGATAGACATTATTACCTTTAATTTCCAAATTAGAAACTTAAGGATCTGAGCAGGTAAGGCATGGCACTTTGTAGTGGAAGAACTGGTTATGATACATTCGTCATTACCTATCTTTTCTAGTTTTCCTAAATTTTCTGCTTCTGAAACAATTGTGAGGAAAACTTGATATTATAGACCTTCCCTGTTTTCTTATCTAACTTGCATTTTTTAAATATATTGATGCTTGAATGAAACTTAGATTTTTACAATTTTAACATTATATCATAAGTGCTTAATACTATGTGCCACTTCTACAGGTCAGTGTTCTCCTTCTTATGGCCCAGTTAACACCTGTGCTCATCTCAATTCTAGATCACCTTTTACTTTTGCTCTTCTGCTCGTGCCAAAAGTAAAAACAACAGTACATGCATAATTTTCAAGATACTTTCTTTTGTTAATCTTAGAAGTTTTGTGAATCTGTTATTAAAGCTAATGACTTAGTAATTTTATTTTTTGCTTTTTCATTGTAATCAGAAGGGCTCTAAGAATGTAATAACTGTTAACCATGTGTCAAGCACATTGTGTCCTGATCATTTTTCTGTAGTGTATATAAATAGAGCACATAAGAGAAAAATAAAGAGGGTGACTTTGAAATCTCAATCATTTTAAGAATAATTTTTTCATGGAACAAGACCATTAAAAAACCTAGACATTTGCATGGCTTCTGCTGTGATCATTTTAGAGAGCTCTGTGGTTAACAGAGTGTTTATGAATATCTCTATTAGTTATAAAGCTATTTCCTGAGGAAAAACAAAGTATTGATTGGCTTAGGTTCCCGCACGTGTTTGTTTTAGAAGATGGTAGACTGGTATCCTAATTTTGGATCAAATTTGTAATAAAATGATTTTTCTTCATGTTGTATAGGTACATTGTAGTGGAGTGTCTCTGTGTTTGGTTTTACAGAATGAGGTATAATAAAGCTATTTTTAATTTTGCCTAGATTGTAACAAATAAAATGAAGTCTTAAAATTATTCTCAATCCCAGTTTTTTTCTTAGTGCTATTAAGATGTCAGTAAACCAGAACATGTCTACATTCAGCCTGAGCTTAGAAAATTGCTTGAGAACAAATAATGAAGGGAACCTTGGTCTTTAGATGGGATTGTAGGGCCTAATGATACCAACCAAACTGTCAGAGTTTATGTGCCGATAGAGGGTTGAAGAACTTGGACATAGCGTAGAAGACCTTTAGGCAGTTTGGTTCTATAAGTCTAGTAGCGGGAGACTTAGAAGATCCAATGAAATTGGGACTGACTGTAGGTAGAAAAACAATGACCAGGCATAATGGGAACAAAGACACTTATGAAATATAACAACAGCTAGTCAGATTTTTAATAGTGCAATTCATAACAGAAAATGGGTTTTCATAGGGAAACAACATATGCCGATAGTGTGTATCAGTCATATTAAGTTTCAGTTACAGTATCTTTAATCTCCAGTGCCTTCTTTCACTGACTTATCTTGAGTATATAAGCAGAGGTAAATTTTCTGTCCTCTGAATTCTGCCTTGTATTAGAGTGCCTTTCGTTTCTCTTATTTCCCTCAATAAGGAGTTGTAATTTCTCTTCCTCCAGGAGATGTCTGATTTATTTTTGTATGCCACATTCACAAATCTTAAAAATTTCATCAGATAGTTCTAAGTTACCTTATTTGTTCACTAAATGAAAAGTGAAAAATGATAGGTGACTTGGATCCTAAATCTTTTCTAGGATATTAGAAATTTACGGTTTGCTCATAAACCTGAGGGGCGAACAAGAAGATCCATATTTGAGAATCTAATGAAATATGCATTTCCTGTCTCTAATAACCTGGTAAGATGGCTCTTATTTTTGAAAAATGTGTATTGATATAAAGAAATTTGTCTAGGATATCTGAATATCTACATTTACGATTCTGCTTTGCCATTTAACCAGATGTATAATTTAAGTTTTAACCTAATCTCTCAGACCAGTTTTGTTAGGTATAACGTGAGGAAGCTGGACTAGCTGCTTTCCGAGGTCCATTCCTGTGCAGTGACATTCTATAATTTCTATACAGGGTGTTTCCATTATGAAAAGCTGTATATGTTCTTAGGATTTGAAATCTTTTTAATTGGGAGCTGACAGTTAAGTCTAGCAATTTAAGAGTGTGGGTGGACAGATACTTAACTGAGTTCCTACAATGTGCTGTTAATAGTGTTAGGCTCCCTCATTTATATTATATAATCTAACTTCCACAGTATCCCTATGGATACTATTTTAAAGGTGAAACCATGAGCAGGTAAGTAACTCAAGGACATAGCTAGTAGGGAGTAAAATTTGGAATCAATACCCTAGTTTGATTTTCATTGTAGTTATTCTGCCATTCTGTCTACATAAATCAAATTTTTGGTATATAAATTGCATGCCAAAAAGTAAAAAGTTTATTCAGTGTGTTTTAGAAAATATAGCATAAACTTCAAAGCTGTTTAACTTATGATATCTGCAATGTCAAACTAATTATATCAAAAGGTATCTTTTTTATGTAACTGTTTCATTATTTAGAAGGAGACCTAAAACAGCTACCAAAGATATCTGAAGGAAATATGGTGACATGTTAGCCTTTAATAAATCTTGAGAATGAGCCTCTGAGCTTTTCTATATGTTTGAGAAATATGAAAAAACAATAAGTTTTCAAAATGATAAAACAAAATAAAACAACAATATAAAACAGGGACACCAATACAAAATGTCTTGGCAGATAAGTAAGTAAAAACTGTGGATATAATAAGGATACGTTTCTGATTCATTACCTCCTAAAATGTCTTTTTAGCTATTAATTCTGTATACTGTTTTTTTATAGCCCCTTTTTGCTTTTGAATACAAAGAAGTATTCCCTGAAAATGGGTGGAAGCTATATGATCCTCTTTTAGAGTATAGGAGGCAGGTATGTACTTTTTTCTTTCAATTTTAATATTCAAGTATTCTTTACAACAAAAATTTATTGGTAGAAGTAAACAGCTTTATATAGTTCTGTGGTTTTTGTTATTTTTTTCATGATGTTAAGCCTGATTTTTTGGCTGCCTTTTAGTTTCTTTAAACTGCTTTTCAGACTATGCCGATGATCTTTTATTAATATTTGCTTATCTAAGAGTTTATAAGTAAATATTTAATAATTTTTAAAATAAATATAAATGGTAAATACATTTATATATTAATATATATTTTAATAATGTCATTCAACATTAGTCACATTTTTCTCTTTTGGGCATCCTATAATTTAATTTCGGAAAAAATTTCAATAGTTCTGTTTATAACTTAGCTCTATATAAAATTATGAAAGTTTTACATCTTCACAGAAGATTCACTTCTACATAAAATGTTAACTCAAATCTGTTAATATATAAAACAGGTAATATAGCATGACGAAGGTGGGTTGATTTAATATTAGAAAACCTATTAATGTGATTTAATTCACCACAGTAAAAGAGTAAAGGAGAATTCAGTCTCGAAATCTGTGTTATAGCATATCATTCTTCCTATTCTTCCTCAGTACACTAGTTCCCAAAGAGTCCCTATACTACAATACTTAAACTCTACCTAAAGTTAGTCTTTATTTTTAACTTTACACATGTTCACTGTGATTTCCTAAGAATTTAAGTTTAGACACATTGATTGTTTCTTGGTAATCATTAGATTTGATATCCAAATTATTCTAGAATGCAGATATGAAAATCATTAGCTATGATTTTTATATTTAGATTTCAAATACTTCATTTTAATTATAAAACTTTAAATTTACTTAGGTTTGTTTCACAAAACCAGGAAGAATAAAAAACCACCATTAGAGAACTAAAGATATCTAAATGGTTTGAAACTGAGTTTCTGTTCAATCACATGGGTCAAGTAAAATTTTAAATTCCTCAGTTATAAAACCATCAGCTGGCAAAATATGAAGCACAATACAAAATAAATGGATCAACTAAAAACCAAGAGTCTACAAGTGACATTGCAAGATTTTTGCTAACCCAAAAATCCAGTGTCAAAATTAGGTGGGAAAACAATCAGAAAATCTAACAAGTGTCTTTAGAATTGTGAGAAAGGGACTATTCTTTGGGAATCTGGGCAAAAATTGCTATCTGTTCTAGTAGCATTCAACATAGAACTTTGGAAAGTAGATAACTGTCCAAAGAAAAGAAATAATTATTAAAAAGAAAAAAGTTAAAGGGTAAATAAACAACTATACACATACAGAGAGAATTATGAGATTAGGAAATATGGTAGTCAGAATAGAGCATTGAACTTTACATTAAATGATATGGATATCTTATGGTCTTTGACTTATAATTTGTTGACTTTTCTTACAGTTAAGGCATTTTATTTGTTTTTGACTCTACCAAGCTAAAGTCTAGTAGAGAAGATGCTGTATTTTTTGTAGTTAGAAAACTCAGAGTTTTTATTTTTATTTTTAAAACATTTTAAATGCCAGTTTATTAATTTTTTTCATACTATATATCCATAATTTTTTTTAACATTTTATTTTTTTTACTTTCTCCTTCCCCCTCCCCTCCCTTCTGGTAACTACAAGTCCATTGTCCATGTCCATAAGTCTCTGTTTGTTTGTCCTGTTCATTTGTTGCTTTTAAGTTTATATAGCCCACATGTGTGATATCAGGTGATTTTCAGCCTTTTCTGTTTGGCTTGTTTCGCTTAGTATGATTATTTCAAAGTCACGTTGTTGCAAATGGCAGTATTTCATCTCTTCTTATGGCTGAGTAATCCATTGTATATATGTACCACAGCTTCGTTAGCCAATCATCTATCGTAGGACACTTCAGTTGCTTCCAGGTGAATAATGCCACTGTGAATAATGCTGTGAATAATGCTGCTATGAACATTGGTGTGCAAATATCTTTTCAAATATAAGTTTTCAAGTCTTTGGGGTAAATACTCAATAGAGAGATTGCTGGATCATATGGTAGGTCAATTCTTAGTTTTTTGAGGAACCTCCACACCGCTTTTCATAGTGGCCGTACCAATTTGCAGTCCCACCAGCAGTGTCTGAGGGTTCCTATTTCTCCACATCCTCTCCAACATTTGTTATTACTTGTCTTGTTGGTTATAGCCATTCTAACAGGTGTGAGATGGTATCTTATTGTGGTTTTGATTTGCATTTCCCTAATAGCTAGCCATGTTGAGCATCTTTTCATGTATTTGTTGGCCATTTGTATGTCCTCTAGGGAGAAGTGCCTGTTCGGGTCCTCTGCCCATTTTTTGATTGGATTGTTTGTTTGTTTGTTGTTATTGAATCATATGAAAAACTCAGGGTTTTTTAAAAAATATTTTTTAAGCTTATTATGGAGGAAAATGGAGATCATCTCAATATAAGTCTTAAGACTAGAGATAAAGCAGCAGAGTATTCCTTTTTTTTTTAATTGAAAAAAATTGGAAGTGGTAATACTTGCACTCTGTGTAAAATTGAAAAGATATGAGGCGTATATTGAAATGTAGGTATTTCTTCTAGGCCAGCCATGTCCCCCAAGCCTCCCATTTCCTTTCTCTTTTAGGAAATATTGTTACTGGTTACCTATATATCCTTTCAGAGATTTTATTCCCACAAAGCTTGTGTGTGTTTTGAACAGATGATAGCATACTATGCATACAGTTTTGTACCTTTTAAATTGTGTGTGTATATGTGTAAAGAGGCTGCTGGCACAGTGCCTGCACATAGCAGATGCTCAATAAATGTATATATGTATATTACTATAATTTGTTTTCTTTTGATTCTGTCTTTTTCTGTGGTATGACTTGTCAGGGGTCATAAAAATTTTAAAATATATATTCATATAATGGTTTTATTTTCTCTAGTATGAAGGTTGAAAAATATTTGTGTCTTACTAGATAATTTTATATGTCAAGTAGTATACTAGTTATACATACAGCAAATATTGAAGGACCAATGAGAACTTTATAATTGATGTGTTATTAAAAAAATATTTTAAGTATTTCTCTTCTCTTTTTGGCTTTGCCTTCTGTTACTCCCTTGTAATATGTTTTATATTAGCAATATTTAATTAGTACTATAATTCACTTTAGGTATGTAAGTGATAAAAAATATATATAGCATTTTGGTGGACACTTGGTGCCTGCCCTGTGAAATTTCTTTGTATGCATGGCACAAACTCAAACATCCAATGAAACTGAATGAGACTGTTCTTTTTAAAGACAGGAAATATTTGTGATCTTGCTGTTTCCTTCCTTCCTCCTGGATCTGTAGCACAGACCTTGCACTTGATCAATATTTAATAATGTAATAAATATTAACAAAATTGAATGCCACAAAGAACACAGATCTCTATGTTGGAATGTCTCATTCAAATAGCCTGGTCACCAAAGGCAGACAATAACTATCCCAACAACTTAAAAGATGGATAGTAGAGATGACAGAAGCTGAATAGGATGCCTTCTATTCTGATGTCTTGTAATATTTTAGTTAGGTAGTACTTTGTGTTGTTTTATTTCACATACAGGGAATTCCAAATGAAAGCTGGAGAATAACAAAGATAAATGAACGATATGAGCTTTGTGATACATACCCTGCCCTCTTGGTTGTACCAGCAAATATTCCTGATGAAGAATTAAAGAGAGTGGCATCCTTCAGATCAAGGGGCCGTATCCCAGTAAGTATGAAGCTTTGATGAGACTTCATAAATGCTTTTATACTCTACATAATGCTGAGAGTAATGAATGGGAGAATGGATGCAGGATAAAAATAGCTATAGCATCAGGTTTTTATGGGGATATTAGAGAATGTGTTACTTAAAAAAATTAAAACTAGGGGCAAGACTTAGATTTCTAGAGAGTTTCACATGGGTATTAGAGAAGTCCACAGAATTGCATGATTCTTAACTGGTTCTGTGTATTATGCACTATTTCTTTATCTTACTATACATTCTTTAGTCATGGTGATAAGTGCTTTTTCCTTTAAATCCTAGAAAGAAAATTTTACAAAGCTGTGATAAATCACTGTGTTCTAGAAAGATCCACTCAAATATATTTAGGTACAAAATTCATAGATTCTGAAGACTTTATAGTTGGGCACTTTTGTTGATAATAGTAATAATAAAACATTAAAAGTGGGGCTTACTTATCCACTTTTAATGTATTTTTTTTCTAGAGACAACACTTCCCTATAATCAGTGACTTTTATAGATCAATATCTGATTAAAGAATTAGACCAAGTTTTCATGTGCCAGAGTTGGCTAGAAAAAAAGATGATATTTCATAGCAGCCTCATATATTCTTTCATGGCTAGACTTTGAATCCAATAAGAAAGCAGAGTTTTATAGAGTACTGTTTCTGAGAAGAATTATAAACAGAAGTATATAAAGGGTATGTCACCATCCCCTCCCCACTTGAGGTTTTATCATGGATTCATCCTGAAAGTCAAGCCACAATCACTCGATGTAGCCAGCCCATGGTAGGAGTGAGTGGGAAGAGAAGCAAAGAAGATGAAAAATACCTTCAAGCCATCATGGATTCCAATGCCCAGTCTCATAAAATTTTTATATTTGATGCCCGGCCAAGTGTTAATGCCGTTGCCAATAAGGTAAGATTGTCTTTCAATAATTATGATAACAGTTTCATGAATCAGTTGGTTTGGTGGGAGCCATAGTGTAGTAGAAGTCAAGCTTTCCAGTGATAAAGATATAGATTCTAATCCTGGCTTTCCTGCTTGGTGATATGACTTAGTTGTTTAATCTTTTTAGACCTTAATTGCTCATTTGTAAAATGAGAATAGTAATAGCTAACAGAGTTGCTTGCGGGTAAAAATCATCTAGTAAAAAATAATGCATAACCCTGTGCTTACATAATAAATAGGTGTTCAGCAGTTATTAGTTTCTCCCTTCTTCAAACTTGACAACTAACTGAGCTTATACAAAGTCTGCACTGCACTGCCGTAGCCTGAAGCAGTGTTCTCAGTGACCAGTGGTGCCCTCTTCTGACAGCCCTTCACCTATACAGGTTATTCAGACTGAAGACTTGGAGTATCTTAGCTGGAGCAGTAGTCCTGATTTCTGCTGTAGAATAAATACTTGCATTGTGGAAATAGAAATTCTGGTCCAGTTGACAAAATCTACCAGAGGAGATACAATTCAGCTTTTAAAAATTATCTCCTTTTTTAACCCTGAATAAGCAATGTGTATATGTATTATAGAAGAATTAGCTAATGCAGAGAAGCAAAAAGAAGAAAATATTTCAAAACACTCTTAAACCTGTAACTAAGAAACATCATTAAACCTTGGTTATACTTTCCATATATATGTGTATATGCATGCAGACATGTATTTGAAAAAGAATGCAATCGTTGTAACTTTTTTAAAAAATTAACTCTATGCCAATAAACATTCACCTATAACATTATTTTAATGGTATAATAATAATAATACCAACTGTTGTTGGATATTTAGTTTATTTCTGTTTTTTTTTGCTATTATTAACAATGATGGGGATGATCATCTTTTTAATGAAATTGTGGAGGATGTATCTAATTACTTCCATCCTGTCTATTACATTTTGAGGGGATTGTGAGTTCCAGTTATTCTCTATTAAACTGTAAATATTCCTTCATAAAAGAGCAATGAAATAATATGTATGAGAAGCCCGTAGTCCAGGACTGGCATATATTTTTCCAGTAATTGCTTGTTTCCCTCCCTAAACTTTATGCCATGAATTAGTAGGAATAAGATTTAGGATATTTTCTAGGCTGAGAAAAGGAGAGAGAAATATAAGGCAGAAAAAGAGGTAGGGCAAAATGTTATATTCCTCATCTTATTTTTTAAAATTATTTTCATGTATATTTCACTATAGAAATCTCCCCTTTTTTAGGACTGAAATATTTTTTTTATTGGGACTTTTTTTTATCACAAGATATGTAGTAGACAGTATAAAAACTAGGAAGGCATAGAAAGGAGATAAAAATCACCTATGATTACTAATATTTTGATATAGTTTCCTTCACTATTTTTTCTGTGCATTTAAGCATTAGTTATTTTGTTTCATTGTTTTTTTCCCTTAACATCATAAGAATTATTTCTTTTAATGGAATATTCTTGAAAAATAATAGTATTTATTATGTAGCTGTATCATTCATTGAATCATTTTTCTAATGTCGGACGTTTAAATAGTATTTTAAATGTAGCCAAAATAGATATCTTTTGTTGACATCTTTGATTATTTCCTTAAAATAGTTTACTAGATATACAATTACTATATCAAAATTTAAAATATGCATATTTTAAAAAATTTTATTGCATGTTACAGATAGTTTTCAGAAAGGTTGCTTCACTTTACCAGCCTGATGCCTTCCACCAGTTTTATTGAGATATAATTGACATTTAACATTGTTTAAGGTATACAACATAATGATTTCATATATGTATATATATTGAAATGATTACCACAATAAGTCTAGTTAACATCTATTACCTCATGTAGTTACAAATATTTTTTCCTTGTGATGAGAACTTTTAAGGTCTACTGCCTTAGCAACTTTCAAATACGCAATAGAATGTTATTAACTCTAGTCACCATGCTGTACATTAGATCTCCAGAATTTATTAATCTTATAACTGGAAGTTTTACCTTTTGACTACCTTTGCCCGATTCTCCCACTTGCCTCCCTTTTTTAATTTTCAGAAGTGTTCCAACAAATATTTTTTACCTGCGTAGTAAGAACATTTTTATAGCTTAATTGATATGAATATGACAGATGATCTTGCAGCCATGTCTCAATTAAGTTCTTCTTTCCAGCCATAGCTTATTTTGATCACCAAATATTTCTCATTCTGTTCTGTAGATGCAGGTTTAAGTTTTTGAGGATAGTGATAGTAATATGCCATAGTATTTTGTGCTTTTATACTTATTCTTTTTATTTTAAAATAATAATATGCTTAAAATAAAAACAAAGTCATGATTGCAAAGCATTTAAAAAATATAAATAGTAAACTGATGTGAAGAGGAAGGGAGGTGAAACAACATGGGCCAGTGGTAAACTAAATAGATATATTCTTGCACATGGAGCTTACTAGTCCGGCGATTTTAGTCTTCTGTAAGAAATTGTTTGGGTAGGACTTGAAATATGGGTGGGGAAATTTAGTGCTTTAAATATAAAGTACCTTCATATATGTTATCACATTTAATTTTTATAATAGCCACTACATAAGGAAGTCAGTGTGAGTGTATATTCCTGTTTTATGAAGAAAAACATGTGGTAGAGAATGGTTAAGTTGCCCTGAGCCATCTTCATTTTTCCATGAGTTTTCTGATTCCTAGTAAAAAGTGTCATCTTTCATGCTATTGGATAGTTTATGGCATTTTTTCATGGATGTCAGCATACAGTGGATGTGCATTCATTTATGATTTCTTGTGATATGTTTTCCAGGCAAAGGGTGGAGGCTATGAAAGTGAAGATGCCTATCAAAATGCAGAACTAGTTTTTCTAGATATCCACAATATTCACGTTATGAGAGAATCATTACGAAAACTTAAGGAGATTGTGTACCCCAACATTGAAGAGACCCACTGGTTGTCTAACTTGGAATCTACTCACTGGCTAGAACATATTAAGGTGGGTATATGTTACTATTTCCTATACTATTGTAGAATATCAGATAAGGACTTTCTTTGTCCCTTTGTCTATATTGGCTTTTACAGTTGAAATCAAGATGAAGGCAGCTTTCTGAACAGTGAAAAATTGATAACCACTTTGATAATTAGAAGTACTTCTAAGTTTTGGTGCTTGAATGAATTAGTTTTCTATATTGTACATTTTGTACTTCTTTCCCACCCTTTCCCATCCTGTCTGAATTCTACCTGTTCTTCAGTTCTGAGTTCATATTTCATTTATTCTATGCAGCCTTCCCAGATTGCATCCATTTCCATTTTCTCTGAAGTTTTCACTTTTTCTTTCCATTTAATCTGGTACTACCTTGCACTTAGTTATTTTTGTGTATCAAACAACGTGTATTGCTGATTCATGGAGACAAGGGCTAGATAAATCATAAATCATGTTTCTTTTTATCCCCTCAGGAGTTAGGACAGCACTATCTGAATAATAGGCACCCAATAAATATGTGTTGCATGACTTGTGACGTAGAAACCATTCTGGTCGGGGAGATGAAGTGAAGTAGTTGAATGCTAAATGATTTGGAGACTACCATGTGAACACTAATTTGCCTAACATGGTAATATAGTGTTTGAAGCACCAAATGTTATTTCAGTTAATATAGTTACATATATTCTCAGATATGGTCTGAATTTCAGTAACATAGCTTACCAAAATACGGACTTCTATAACCTAACATATATTAATACTATGAAATAAAGGAAAATGAAATTTTTATGTTAAGGAGGAACAGACGTGTAGTCACATTAAAATCTCTAAAATTCAGATAAAATTGAAAAGGCCAAATTGACCTAATGAGAATTACAGACTATTTGTACTGTTCTCTTCTAGAAGCCTAGAAGTTTGAATGTAGCAAAGTGTGAACAGTTCTCAAATGCGTGTTCATGTGGCCCATCTATTACATGAAATGTAAATAGAAAACCTTAAGACTTGATTTGGAACTAACATAAATCGTAGCACTCACTTCTGTAAATTCCAGGTCATTTCACTAGCAGGTACAACGTTCTCTCCAAAAGCCTGGTTATAACAAAAACAAGTTTCCTTAGAGGTACAAGAGGTACAGCTGTGCCAGGACTACCTTTTTTTCCCCCCCTCCCCACCCTCCTCACACCTGCAAGGCTTACCCACTGACTTTCTTCAGATCTCTGCTCGCATATCACTTTCCCAGAAGCCTTTCTCAACCATTCCATACAAAATAACAGTTCTGTCAGCACCCCCTAGACCTGTATGCTTTTTCACTCACTGCCCTCTGACATGGTATACACTTTATTTATTTGCATCTGGCTGGCCTCCTCTGCCAGAATGTAGACTTCATTAAGCTAGTACTTTGTTTTGTTCACATTCTGTCTCTAGCACCTAGAGCAGTGCCTGCCACATAGTAAGGGGCTCCATAAATGTTTATTTTGTAAATGAATAAATGAATTAAAATGTTCTCCATTTTGGAGAACTCTTCCTGGTCAGTCTTAACTTTCCCATTTTTCTAATCCTTTGGGTCAATGATATGTAAGTCTGGATTTGGTAGAAGTTGTTTAAAATAGTAAGATAGGATTAGTGGAGAATGAGGCCCAGGCACTTTTGAAAAAAAATGCTCACAGACAGTGTGCATAGTCCAGATAGAGATTGTTTCAGAGTACCCCATTTCCCGATTATGCCTACAGTTATGATCAAAAGAGGGTTATGACCTAGCTAGTAAATCTGTTGTCTTTCATTCTGATCTAGGTGGAACCATATTGTTCTTTAAATATGATCTGGTCAATGCAGAGAATAGGGCTGTATTGTCATTTTCAACGGATACTATACTTTTGTTTCTTTTTTGGTTACATCTAATTCTGTTTAGTTTTAACTCAAGATCAACTTAAGAAAAGGTAAATTATTTTAGATACCAGTTAAATTGACATGGTTATATATTGATCTGATGAGAATTTTTTAATCCTCCTGATACAGAAAAGTAGCTTACTTTAAAGTATTACACTCTGCTTTCTTGTATGCTGTGATATATATAAAAATAGTAAAATAAATGCTGTGGAAGCTATAGAGTACTTTAAAAGAGATCAGTTTATGGTTTTCATACCTATTCAAATTTAGTTAAGTATTGCTTTAATAGATAAGGCCTCAGCTGGGTTATTTTTATTTAAATGGGTGATGTTAGAATATTTGAAGATTCTTAGAAATAGATCATTTTAGAACTTAATCCTTTTTTTCCTCTTATTCATACTCTTGGTTTAAAACCCAAATGTACTTTTCATTTGGATGTTTCATTGTATAGATTAATAGGAGTCTGCATTTATGAGGTTTTTCTACCATTAAAAAAATTTAGGAAGGGACTGATGTTTTTTTCTCCATGTTATTGAGATAATCATCCCTAACAAAGTTCTCTGAGTAAACTTTGAAGAAGGAAGCATTTAATTTTTTAAAATTTAATGGAAAAAAAAAATTTGCAGCTTATTCTTGCAGGGGCTCTTAGGATCGCTGACAAAGTAGAGTCAGGAAAGACGTCTGTGGTGGTACACTGCAGTGATGGCTGGGACCGCACAGCTCAGCTGTCTTCCCTTGCCATGCTCATGTTGGATGGATACTATCGAACTGTCCGAGGATTTGAAGTCCTTGTGGAAAAAGAATGGCTGAGCTTTGGACATCGATTTCAGCTTGTAAGTGAAGACCTGAACTCAGTGTACTTGCATCTCACATAAGGCGTGTGAAAATAATGCCTTTTATTCATTAGATATTCATCTAAAATTGATCATTTATTCTAGTGGGGTAAACGTCTCAAGAGAACTTTGTTTTGGAAAGCATTAGACTATCCTGTCACAGCTTTGCAGTCTGGAGCCAGGGCTACTAGCTATTTGTCAGGCATCTATCTGACCCAGTCTCTTCTGTGATTGCTACCAGGAAACATCAGATATCATTCCATGATTTCTACAGGTGTCTCCACCGGTAAATGACAGTTCAGATTAGCATAAATGGTTATGGAATTACAAGGCACTCCAGCTTCTCCTGTAGACTTAAAATAAGACAAGAATGGCTTAATTATTCTTAAAGTAGCCCTATAAACTAGTATTGCTCACACAGGATCAGGGTCTTAAAAAGAAGAAAACAGCCTGGGACTAAAATAACAGAAAAAATTAAAATTAAAATTTGACTCACAGTTGGGAAATAAAACAACTTTTTTATCTTCCTTTTTAAAGTATTGACACTGTAATGGCCATATGTATGGACAGTGTTGCAGTTTTATGGAAATGACATTTTGTGCTCTCTGTATATTTCAGAATGTATGTTGATGATGGTGGTGGTATCAAATCGAAGACTGTGAAAGACCTCAGAGTCCAGGCATTCACTGATGAATGTCTTCTATTGTGTCCCCAAAATGACTTTAGTTTCTTTAGTAACACCTCCAGCAATAAGCAGTAAATTGCTTCCTGGAACTATCTAGTGTCACTTCAGAAAGTCTACCTACTAGAAACTTCTTCCTCACAGTAAACTAAAATTTGCTTCCCATTTTCCTGCTTTCCCTTTAGAGACAGAAAGAACAAAATGACTACTTATCCATATAAGATAGCCCTTTAGATATTTGAAAGTAGCTGTCTGCCCATGTAATTTATAATCTTCAGTTCTTCTGGCTGACCATCCATTTTCTTTAGTCTTTTCTCATTCTAATCCCCTCACCATCCCAGATGTCCTCTGGACGTTGGTCATGGCTTTTCTACAAGTGGGTGTACAGAGCTAATTACAGTTTTTAAAATAGAGGAGTGGGATTATTACGTCTCTTTTAAAGGATGCTACTCTTTCACATTTGCTTTTTTGTTAAATCATCCTTTGGATCATGTAGCTTTTAATTAAGTAAACATTCAAGTAGTTTTTAGTTATGATACTAAATTTAGTATATGCTAAATGCTAAATTTGGAATCAGAAAACTTGATTCTCATCTATTGCCCATCTGTGTTGGTTGTAATCATAGAATTAGAATGAAGAGTAGGAATATTTTCCCAGGAAGGAGGAGCAGGGTAAGCAAATGTCTAGGTGGGATTGAGCATGGCGAGAGTTAGAGTTGAGGGAGAGAGAGGTTTAGAGAATCTTGGAATGGGGAGGTAGAGTGTCAGAGCCCTTGAAGCCACTGAGAGTGTGGTTCCTAGATTAGCTGAAAAACGTTTTGCCCAGATGCTGTCTTTAATGTTAACCTTTAGTATCCAGTAGTTACCAGGGTATGTGAGTAGTATTTATAAATAATTTGAAAGAAACAGACATTTAAAGGTAGTCTGTGCTTTTGAACTTGAACTGTTAAATAAAAGTGGGCATCTGGAGTATCTATTCAGATGGCTCACATTTTTCAATTCTCTATAAAATGTACTTATCATGAAAAGACCGTTAAAAAAAAGCCCAAACTCTTACTTCAAAGGATAAAGATTTAGCCAAAACTGCACATGTTCATATAAATGTGATCAAAATCATAAACATTTCAGACTGTTTAAAGATGCTATGGATTCCTAAGTTGCTAATTCTGGTTACCTACTTCATTTCCTAAGTTGCTAATTCTGGTTACCTACTCCATTTTTTTTTTTTTTTTTATCCCTAGTTATATGAAAGCAGAATTTGTCAATTAAGGACATCTGGTCAAGAGGATATGCTCATATAATTAATGTAGGATAGTGATTCTCAAACTTTTTGATTTCAGGACTTCTTTCCATTTTTGACAATTATTTGTGATCGCAGAGAACTTTGTTTACATGGTTTATATATCAATATTTATCATATTAGAAATTAAAATTAAAACATTTTAAAGTATTCATTAAAAAAATAAATCTATTTTTCTTAGTCCATTTGGGCTGTTATAACAATCCCACAGAATGAGTGGCTTATAAAAGAACAGAAATTTATTTCTCACAGTTTTGAAGGCTGGAAGTCCAAGGTCAGGATGCCAGCATAGTTAGGTTCTGGTGAAGGCCCTCTTCTGGGTTGTAGATTGCTGACTTCTCACTGGTGGAAGGAGGCTAGGGAGCTCTGTGGGGTCTCTCTTGCTAAGAGCACAGACCCCATTCATGAGGGTTCCACTCTCATGACCTCGGTAGCTCCCAAAGACGACTCCTTATGTCATCACATTAGGAGTTCAACATAGGAATTTTGAAGGAGGGGGACACAAACATTCAGACCATCGTACTGTTATTATATATTAACATAACATATTAAAGAAAACTATATTTTCTAAAACAAAGTTTTCATGAGAAGAGTGACATTGTTCTACATTTGGTGGGGGGAGCATTTCATATCTACTTCTTCATTACATCTGCTGCAATATGTTCTGTTAAAGTATACGAGGTTAAAGTATACGAGGAAAATCTGACCATGCACAGATTGAAAAGCAAAGAGTACTTTAATAGCAAAATTTAACTACTAATTGCAGTTTGATTCCAGTGCCTTGCTTCATTTCTCCTAAGGTACCAAAAGTTTATCCTTCATCACTTCTGCACCATTAGTGCAAATGGCAATGCACTGAAAAAGGCAAATACTATTTTAACATTATGAAAATAGTTTTGACCTCACAGCCCTCCTCCCCCACCAAGTCTATGGCCTGTAAGTTTAGAATCACTGCTTTAGGGTACCGAGAAGGGGTCTGTTTTGGTCATCTGAGGCAAAGGTCCTCAGAGGAGGAAAAAACTGAGAAAAAACTGGGTGAGTGCATGCTTGGAGGGCAGAAGTCAAGCATTTTTTTTTTTTAAAGGTTTACAAAGATTTGTGCTAATATGATTCTTCTTGATGAAGACAGACTGGAGCTGAGATGCAACAGGTCCCTTTCATGTACTGACCAAGGTGTTAAAGGAGAAGGGTGCTTCCAGAGGATGTTGTACGAGTAATTTAACATTCAGGGGAAGATGAGCTTTCCAGGAGAAAAATGTGGGCTCTGGAGGTCTGACTGCTCCTGTCTTCCATTATCAACCTTTTAGGATCTGGGTTTCATTTATTAAACAAAGTTGTAATTCTTATTACATGCATCTCATGTTAAAAAATAATTTAGCACCTTGTGCATCAAAATGTTAATAGAAATTTCATAGGTAGGGTTATGGGTGATTCTGTTTTCTTTGTTCTTTTAAAAGAATTTTCTGATTTTTTTTTTAACAATGAGCGAATATTTTATTGGAAGATAAAATTATTTCCATTAAAAAATGAAAACTCTAAAGCTTATCTATTATTTCCCTTTCTTTGCTTCAGAGACTTGGCCATGGAGATAAGAACCATGCAGATGCAGACAGATCGCCTGTTTTTCTTCAGTTTATTGACTGTGTCTGGCAAATGACAAAACAGGTAACTTATATATCTATTCTTGCATCTCTCTTTTAAGCCATCCTGTCAGAGTTGGGATTTTGGTCACTGATTAGCCTACATTCTATGTAAAATTCTTGTAAGGTTTTAGGTAATAGAACTATTACCTAATTATCACATTATTAAGTAAACTAAAGGACATTGTTTGGAAGTAATGTTAAACATCTGACAATTTGATTCCCTTAGCATTTCAATGAGCACTGATAATAACCCAACAGATTTCCTCTGCTGTTTTGGACAAGCAGTTAAATAATAGCTGTATATTCACCCAGCTAATCTGTATATTGCTGAAGAGGTAAAGAAATGAAGAAATAGGCTAAGTAACTCAAGCAAAATAAAATCCCATTTTAAGTAATTTAATGAAAAAATGAGATATGTAATAGATTCAGTTCTCTTCCCACCCCCCCCCCCCCCCGCCTTAGGTATGGAGAGATTATATTTTTTAGATCTTCTTACCAAATTTCTTAAAAACTGATGTGAAATATTAGTGTAAATGGATTTAGTCTTCTGGACTGATACCAGAGAATGAAAAATACCTGGTTTATTATTATGGGATCACGTGACTAGGCAAGGGGTTGGTGTCTTAAAAACAGTTAAATCAAGAAAAAGCATCCTAAAACCCAAAAGTTGGATATAGCTCATTGGTACATCATTTATTTACCCAAGGATTTATCAGACCTGAAACAACTGAAGGCCCGATTTGTTTTTAGTCAGACTGCCTGCCACGTGACTATAAGGCAGGGCAACTGCTGGCTTTGCTTCACTTTAGGGTCACATTTTAGCTTTGAGAAATACTATTTAATTTATTGAAAGAAAACAAATGGTGATCTTCAGGTGAAATTTATCAATTTTTCTGTATATTGGATAGTTTGTTTTTTCTCCCATAAGCATTTCAGTTTGGGTAGATTGTTTTGAAACCTGCTGGGTTAAATGAAGCATTGTAGTCGATATAACTATAGTATGATGAGGCTGGTATTTTCATACATATGCTACAAATGTATATACAATTTATTTTTCTATATGTTAGGCCCTTGGTTTGTTGGGGGGAGGGGAGATGCTATATATATATTTTAATGTTTACTACTACTTGGAGTTGGTTTGATTTTTTCCTTTGGAATTGTCTTTGAGGTAGTACATTAGCTATGCAAATTATTGCCAATTCCTGTTTTAGGTATTTGACCCAAAACAATAGGACCCACTTTTGACCATTACCATATTCTATTTTTAAATAACATTTGACGATTGGCAAAAATCCAGTATGCCCTATCTAAAAGACTAGAAAAGTTGTTTGAAACCATAGCATGATTGATAGTTATGGCTACTGCTTTCCAGGGGGAATAACTTGAAGGGGGCAACATGTGTGAATGTATTAGTTCTGGTATATTTGTTAGAAAAAAATCAATCACATTTACTAGCTGTTTGCATAACAGAGTATATGATACACTTCTTCTTTAGTAATTGTGTTAACTTTTTATAGGCTACATTTCTAAAATCAGTTTAACTCCAGTTTTGAGCTTGTTACTAAATAGAAAATCCGTTTAATCTTATGTTTTTTAGAACTTAAAATACATTATAGTGATGTCTTTATTTTAGACATCTAGTTGTTTTTCTGTATATTTTCTTGCCGAACATAAAATATGTTAGTCACAATGTTTATTGACAGTCATCAATTTTACAAATAATTGAATGTTTGTGCAGAGACTTAAATAGCACATTTGCCAAAATGGGACTAATTAGGTTGCAATTAGCCAGATTCCTCTTCTCCTACCGTCATCTTCATCCCCTCCCTCTTGAAATCAGAAAGCAGTTGATGAAGGGCGCTTCAGATTTTAAAAGCAATACCAGTAGTTAATGGTCTGCTATTTTAGTTTTGTTGTGAGGACATGCCCACTGATTAAGTTGTCTTCTCATAACTGAGCTGTTTTGCCAGGATGATGAAAAACTAATCACAGGCTCAGCTCTTTTGGATTGCTGTTTAATGAGGCACGGTGCATTCATGGTTGGTTAATAAATAAGGCTGTTAAGAGTATGTAACAATACAGGAGATGGGACTTATTTTGTGAATGAATAAATGGGATTTGACAAAGTTTCTCACAGTTAATTGGCTTTTTGTTGGCATGTGCTTGATCACTCGCTTCATTGAACTTCACAGCCACAAAAATTATCCAAGGCATGGTAGTTATTCTTCCTTGTTTGAGAAATTTGCTACATTACCTTATTGCTTCCTAAAATTTAGGCAATTTCAAGGTAAAGTTGTTTTCAGCCCTCTCCCTTTTGCTTGCAGTTGATGCTGTTGCACGCGCGCGCGTGTGTGTATTTCCTAAAAATAAAGCTATGTTGTTGAAAACTTAAAGAAAAATCTTAACTATGTTGTTTACGGTTGGTCATTTTTGGCAGAGAATGACCGGAGTTGCCATAATTGCCCAGGTCAAAATTCATCAGCCAGAGAGTTTAGGACTAACAGGCAGGGTATACAGAAATATCAAGGTCAGACCATTCAAACTCTTGCTGCATAAGAGTTTGAAAAGGAGATTTTAGAAGAAGCTGTCTTAGAAAAGTGGTAAAATGATCTTAGAACAGAAAACCAAACAGATAATGCCATAATAGCTTAGAAATATGTAGTTTTGAATATTGTTTACCTAATTTAAGAAGTATTCCAAAGAATCTACCCAGAAACAGGGACGAGTATGGTTGAAAAAATGTCTTAATTTTATGTTTGTGGTGTTTGATTTGCAGTTTCCTACAGCATTTGAGTTCAATGAATATTTTCTCATTACCATTTTGGATCACCTATATAGCTGTTTATTTGGAACATTCCTCTGTAACAGTGAACAGCAGAGAGGAAAAGAGGTAAAATACGAGCCCCCTACCACCTCTATGCATCTATCCCCAATATGTACTTTACTAAAATTCATTTTGTGATGTATTTCAACTGAACAGTCCTTCTTTTGCATGATTTCTTTGGCCGTATTTTATTTTATATGCTGTAATATGATTACTTCTTTCCATACATCTGAACCTGATCTATTTTTAAATACCTGCCACAAGGCTGAAGATACCAGCTAGCTATCAGGTGAGTTTATGGGTGGGAAGTAGTATCTGCTAAAGAGAGAACTGAAGTTATGTGTGACTAAAGAGCGCCAGTATACCTGTTATTCCTTGCAGGATGGAAACCCTTCAAAGCAGGTGCTGAAAAATATAATTAGTAAAAAAATATACATTTGAATGGACAGCTCAAATACCAAAATATATTCTGTGTACATGAGCCATTTTAGGTTTTTTTTTTAAATTGGAAAATACTGTAAAAATTCAAACACTAAAAATATACTATGTAGAAAGTTAAAGTTTGTCACTCCAGTTCTGCAGAAATACCACTGTTAAGCGGATAGTTATTTAGAAGAAACCGTGCAAGGATTACATTCAAGTTTTACTTCCGTTTTCCTCAAAATGCATCTATCCTTTGTATGAAATTATTAATCATCTCAACTGTTATCTTCCTCTGAATCAATTTTCATTCTAAAAAATGTGGTTATAATTTACTTTATCCATGCTTTCCTATAAAGCAGAGTGGCAAAGAGTGCTTGCTCTGGAGCCAGGCTGCATGGGTTCAAACCTTAGATCTGTCACTTACTGTGTGATCTTGGGCAAGTTAATTTCTGCTTCTATAAAACAGATGATAGTACTTACTGTTGTGAGGATTAAATACAATAAGCCATACAAAACACTACAGTAGCTGTCGTGTAGTAAGTGCTTCCTTAGACTTTAAGTTCCTCGAAGGCAGATATTAAATTTTTAAATTCACCATTATTTCTTCAGTATCTGGCACACAGTAAATATTTCTATGCATAGTAGCACTCAAGAATTGCTTGAATGTTAGGTACTTTCATTTTTGAGAGCCTTGCATAGGATTTACTATATCTTGATTTAAAAAATTTTTTTAGCGAGGTATAATTTGCATTCCATAAAATTCACCCTTTTAAAATATATAATTTAATAGTTTTTAATATATCTACAGTTATACAACCATCATCACTCTCAGAACATTGAAACCTGTACCTGTTAGTAGTAGTTTCTTCCCATCCTTCTTTCTTCCCAGTGCCTGGCAAGCACTATCCCTGTTGATTTGTCTGTTTTGGACATTTCATATAAATGGAATCATTTCAGATTTGGCCCTAATGTCTGGCTTCTTTCACTTAACATGTTTTCAAGATTCACTTAACATGTTTTTAAGGTTCAATTTATAGCACATATCAATACTTCATTCCTTTTTATGGCTGAACATTCCATTGTCATTCAAATGATAAATGGACAAAAACTATTTTGTCCATTTATCATTTGATGGACTCTGGTTGTTTCTACTTCTTAGCTGTTATAAGTAATGCTGCTTTTAACATCTGTGTACAAGTTTTTATGTGCGCTTTCAGTTCTCTTGGGTATATATACCTAAGAGAGGAACTGCTGGTAATGGTCACATTGTGTTTAACTTTTTGAGGAACTGCACTGTTTTCCAGTACCCTCTGATTTTAATATAAGTGGGACTTATCACTGAAGTTATCTCCCTCTAAAGAGATTTTAATGATCACAATGTACCTTTTTACAACTTTCATCTGAAGTATAAATAGCTTAAGTGATGGAGAATCTTTACCTATTTTTCCTTCTTACAGAATCTTCCTAAAAGGACTGTGTCACTATGGTCTTACATAAATAGCCAGCTGGAAGAATTCACTAATCCTCTCTATGGGAGCTATTCCAATCATGTCCTTTATCCAGTAGCCAGCATGCGCCACCTAGAGCTCTGGGTGGGGTATTACGTAAGGTGGAATCCACGAATGAAACCACAGGTATATGCGCTATACAATATACAATGGGAGTTTTTAATCCATGCAAGCGTATAAATTACATTTGTCCGCTGTAAAGCACCTAGAAAAATTATGTGTGCATATTTAAAACTCTCCCTAAAAAAGTACTACACGGGGGGTAAATTAGTATACTTGGTTCTTATCCTGACTTTGGACAAATCACTTGTTTTGTCTTTTCTTCCCTTCTCTATAAAATGAGGGTATTGGACTAGATAACTTCTAGAGGTCTCATTTTAATAGGTTGGAGAAAATACCTTTAGTTTAAAACCTAACAAAATTCTGGTCCATTTTGAAATATGGAATATTTACTACTTAGAACTATATAAAAGACAATCTACAACTGAATGATAGGAAATCTTTGAGTACTGGTTTTTAGATGGTCTTGTTACTTAAATATTTGTATTTGGAAAAGTATCAGTTTCAGGATAGTTTTTGGAAATACCTGGGAACACTAGGAGAGCCCGTGAAAGAGCAATGTTGTTAATAGAGTCCCTGAAATTAATTTTCACTGATGTGTTAGAAAG